CTAACAATATGTGAGACGGGGGTCCTCAGCTAATAATATGTGTGACGGGGGTCCTCAACTTACAATATGTATGGCAGGGGGTCCTCAGCTAACAATATGTGTGGCAGGCGGTGCTCAGCAAACAATATGTGACGGCGGTCCTCAGCTAACAATATGTGAGACGGGGGTCCTCAGCTAATAATATGTGTGACGGGGGTCCTCAACTTACAATATGTGTGGCAGGCGGTCCTCAGCTAAAAATATGTGTGGCAGGCGGTGCTCAGCTAACAGTATGTGTGGCAGGCGGTCCTCAGCTAACAATAAGTGTGACGGGGGTCCTCATGTAACAATATGTGACACGGGGGTCCGCAGCTAACAATTTGTGTGTCGGGGGTCCTCAGCTAACAATATGTATGGCAGGGAGTCCTCAGCTAACAATATGTGTGACGGGGGTCCTCAGCTAACAATATGTGTGACGGGGGTCCTCAGCTAACAATATGTATGGCAGGCGGTCCTCAGGTAACAATATGTGACGGCGGTCCTCAGCTAACAATATGTGAGACGGGGGTCCTCAGCTAACAATATGTATGGCAGGCGGTCCTCAGCTAACAATATGTGAGACGGGGGTCCTCAGCTAACAATATATAGGGCAGGGGGTCCTCAGCTAACAATATGTGAGACGGGGTCCTCATGTAACAATATGTATGGCAGGAGGTCCTAAGCTTACAATATGTATGGCAAGGGATCCTCAGCTGACAATATGTATGACAGGCGGTCCTCAGCTAACAATATGTGTGACGGGGGTCCTCAGCTAACAATATGTGTGACGGGGGTCCTCAGCTAACAATATGTATGGCAGGTGGTCCTCAGCTAACAATATGTGTGGCAGGCGGTCCTCTGCTAACAGTACGTGTGGCAGGCGATGCTCAGCTAACAATATATGTGACATGGGTCCTCAGCTAACAATATGTGTGACGGGGGTCCTCAGCTAACAATATGTAAGGCAGGCGGTCCTCAGCTAACAATATGTATGGCAGGCGGTCCTCAGGTAACAATTTGTGACGGCGGTCCTCAGCTAACAATATGTGAGACGGGGGTCCTCAGCTAACAATATGTATGGCAGGCGGTCCTCAGCTAACAATATGTGAGACGGGGGTCCTCAGCTAACAATATATAGGGCAGGGGGTCCTCAGCTAACAATATGTGAGACGGGGTCCTCATGTAACAATATGTATGGCAGGAGGTCCTCAGCTAACAATATGTGTGGCAGGCGGTGCTCAGCTAACAATATGTGTGACGGGGGTCCTCAGCTAACAATATGTAAGGCAGGCGGTCCTCAGCTAACAATATGTATGGCAGGCGGTCCTCAGGTAACAATATGTGACGGCGGTCCTCAGCTAACAATATGTGAGACGGGGGTCCTCAGCTAACAATATGTATGGCAGGCGGTCCTCAGCTAACAATATGTGAGACGGGGGTCCTCAGCTAACAATATATAGGGCAGGGGGTCCTCAGCTAACAATATGTGAGACGGGGTCCTCATGTAACAATATGTATGGCAGGCGGTCCTCAGCTAACAATATGTGTGGCAGGCGGTGCTCAGCTAACAGTATGTGTGGCAGGCGGTCCTCAGCTAACAATATGTGTGACGGGGGTCCTCATGTAACAGTATGTATGACGGGGGTCCTCATGTAACAGTATGTATGACGGGCGTCCTCATGTAACAGTATGTATGACGGGGGTCCTCATGTAACAGTATGTATGACGGGGGTCCTCATGTAACAGTATGTATGACGGGGGCCCTCATGTAACATTATGAATGACGGGGGTCCTCATGTAACAGTATGTATGACGGGGGTCCTCATGTAACAGTATGTATGACGGGGGCCCTCATGTAACAGTATGTATGACGGGGGCCCTCATGTAACATTATGAATGACGGGGGTCCTCATGTAACAGTATGTATGACGGGGGCCCTCATGTAACATTATGAATGACGGGGGTCCTCATGTAACAGTATGTATGACGGGGGCCCTCATGTAACAGTATGTATGACGGGGGTCCTCATGTAACATTATGTATGACGGGGGTCCTCATGTAACAGTATGTATGACGGGGGTCCTCATGTAACATTATGTATGACGGGGGTCCTCATGTAACAGTATGTATGACGGGGGTCCTCATGTAACAGTATGTATGACGGGGGTCCTCATGTAACAGTATGTATGACGGGGGTCCTCATGTAACAGTATGTATGACGGGGGTCCTCATGTAACATTATGTATGACGGGGGTCCTCATGTAACAGTATGTATGACGGGGGCCCTCATGTAACAGTATGTATGACGGGGGTCCTCATGTAACAGTATGTATGACGGGGGTCCTCATGTAACATTATGTATGACGGGGGTCCTCATGTAACAGTATGTATGACGGGGGTCCTCATGTAACAGTATGTATGACGGGGGTCCTCATGTAACAGTATGTATGACGGGGGTCCTCATGTAACAGTATGTATGACGGGGGTCCTCATGTAACAGTATGTATGACGGGGGTCCTCATGTAACAGTATGTATGACGGGGGTCCTCATGTAACATTATGTATGACGGGGGTCCTCATGTAACAGTATGTATGACGGGGGCCCTCATGTAACATTATGTATGACGGGGGTCCTCATGTAACAGTATGTATGACGGGGGTCCTCATGTAACAGTATGTATGACGGGGGTCCTCATGTAACAGTATGTATGACGGGGGTCCTCATGTAACAGTATGTATGACGGGGGTCCTCATGTAACAGTATGTATGACGGGGGTCCTCATGTAACAGTATGTATGACGGGGGTCCTCATGTAACAGTATGTATGACGGGGGTCCTCATGTAACATTATGTATGACGGGGGTCCTCATGTAACATTATGTATGACGGGGGTCCTCATGTAACATTATGAATGACGGGGGCCCTCATGTAACAGTATGTATGACGGGGGTCCTCATGTAACAGTATGTATGACGGGGGTCCTCATGTAACAGTATGTATGACGGGGGTCCTCATGTAACAGTATGTATGACGGGGGCCCTCATGTAACAGTATGTATGACGGGGGTCCTCATGTAACAGTATGTATGACGGGGGTCCTCATGTAACAGTATGTATGACGGGGGCCCTCATGTAACATTATGAATGACGGGGGTCCTCATGTAACAGTATGTATGACGGGGGTCCTCATGTAACAGTATGTATGACGGGGGCCCTCATGTAACAGTATGTATGACGGGGGCCCTCATGTAACATTATGAATGACGGGGGTCCTCATGTAACAGTATGTATGACGGGGGCCCTCATGTAACATTATGAATGACGGGGGTCCTCATGTAACAGTATGTATGACGGGGGCCCTCATGTAACAGTATGTATGACGGGGGTCCTCATGTAACATTATGTATGACGGGGGTCCTCATGTAACAGTATGTATGACGGGGGTCCTCATGTAACATTATGTATGACGGGGGTCCTCATGTAACAGTATGTATGACGGGGGTCCTCATGTAACAGTATGTATGACGGGGGTCCTCATGTAACAGTATGTATGACGGGGGTCCTCATGTAACAGTATGTATGACGGGGGTCCTCATGTAACATTATGTATGACGGGGGTCCTCATGTAACAGTATGTATGACGGGGGCCCTCATGTAACAGTATGTATGACGGGGGTCCTCATGTAACAGTATGTATGACGGGGGTCCTCATGTAACATTATGTATGACGGGGGTCCTCATGTAACAGTATGTATGACGGGGGTCCTCATGTAACAGTATGTATGACGGGGGTCCTCATGTAACAGTATGTATGACGGGGGTCCTCATGTAACAGTATGTATGACGGGGGTCCTCATGTAACAGTATGTATGACGGGGGTCCTCATGTAACAGTATGTATGACGGGGGTCCTCATGTAACAGTATGTATGACGGGGGTCCTCATGTAACATTATGTATGACGGGGGTCCTCATGTAACAGTATGTATGACGGGGGCCCTCGTGTAACATTATGTATGACGGGGGTCCTCATGTAACAGTATGTATGACGGGGGTCCTCATGTAACAGTATGTATGACGGGGGTCCTCATGTAACAGTATGTATGACGGGGGTCCTCATGTAACAGTATGTATGACGGGGGTCCTCATGTAACAGTATGTATGACGGGGGTCCTCATGTAACAGTATGTATGACGGGGGTCCTCATGTAACAGTATGTATGACGGGGGTCCTCATGTAACATTATGTATGACGGGGGTCCTCATGTAACATTATGTATGACGGGGGTCCTCATGTAACATTATGAATGACGGGGGCCCTCATGTAACAGTATGTATGACGGGGGTCCTCATGTAACAGTATGTATGACGGGGGTCCTCATGTAACAGTATGTATGACGGGGGTCCTCATGTAACAGTATGTATGACGGGGGTCCTCATGTAACAGTATGTATGACGGGCGTCCTCATGTAACAGTATGTATGACGGGGGCCCTCATGTAACAGTATGTATGACGGGGGTCCTCATGTAACATTATGTATGACGGGGGTCCTCATGTAACAGTATGTATGACGGGGGTCCTCATGTAACATTATGAATGACGGGGGTCCTCATGTAACAGTATGTATGACGGGGGTCCTCATGTAACAGTATGTATGACGGGGGTCCTCATGTAACAGTATGTATGACGGGGGTCATCATGTAACAGTATGTATGACGGGGGTCCTCATGTAACAGTATGTATGGCAGGCGGTCCTCAGCTTACAATTTGTGTGATCTATTTGGGCGGGATCCTCCTTTGGCCTCTATGGAGGACCTAACAGTCTCGAAAAACAGAATGAAATTACAACAAAACATTTAGAATTGACAAGAACAACATGAGGAGGAAGATATAACACACATGCACATAAAGATAACATATATCCACACACTATATGAGAAATGTTTTCAAAGCAAGGAATGTCAAAGTCGTAATGAATGTATTACCTTACGCGGCCAGACAATGATGTTAATGTTACGTCCATATGTGTGCAGATAGATTCTATTTCCCCTACCTCGTCATCTAGGTCACATCGTTGGCTACACGGTCAACGTTCGTTCCCATGACATGTAACCGGAAAGTAACTTCATTCTACCACACGTACTCATAACTTTAAGGTAACGTTAACTCATATGGAGTTAAGGAAATAGATACTGAAATTAAAGAATGGCAACCGAAGTCTAACTTATAATGATTCTTGAGGTAAATTATTCTGTCAGAATACCTATAATCACAGGCAAGATCTTGTACCAGATGAAGTATATTACCTAAAACATGCAATACAAATTTCCTCACAGAACGTGCATGATGTATTCCCCAGTGTCTTGAAGGATACGTGTTACATCTATTAGGTTTAATGAAAGTGCTCAACGTTTATGACCCCAGTACAGATCCGGGTTAAAATTGGTCTACAGGTTCTACTACACCAAATCAGAGCCAGTTTGGACAGTGCAGATCGAGAGATATCTGCAGGTTGTGATTTGAGGATATTCTGTAAGATTTTTATGTCTTTCAAATGTACATCCATCTAGTTATTAAAACTGACCATGTTTTTCTATATTTACTACTGTCTTTTTCAACATGATGTCTTATGCTGAATGTGACAACAGCTATTTTCGAGTAGGTGACATTTGGTGAGAAACTGGGGGTGGTGTGTTTAGCTTGTTGCTCTAAGGCCAAACTGTGCACACAAGTACAGGTAATAGCTGTTGAATGCTTCGTTATTTTTTTTAAAAATATAACGTTACTATAGAAGTCTATGGGAAAACATTTGATTGTATGTCACCTTCAGCTACCCATTCTTGTCGTAAGAGGCGACTAACGGGATGCGTGGCCAGGCCCGATACTTTGGTTGCTGCGCTGTAATCGTTTCCCATTTGCATTGATAGATGCTCTCCATGTCAATCACCGGATTGTCCAGACTCGATTACATGCTATTTCGATTCAACATGACATCAGCGCCATCAAGGCATAACCTGTGATGTGGAATGTAATTGATCACTGCAAATAAGTGATGCCACCAGGTGTGAATTGATCACTGCAAATCAGTGATGCCACCAGGTGTTCACGAAAAGTGTAAGCATGGCCTGCCCTACCGGTAGCACCCGCTACTCATATTTGTACAGTTTGCATAAAGTAAACATTTAGCATTAACATATGCCGCGAGGTGTACCTGGTATTACAGACAGTAGTAACGGAGAATGAATTTGAAGACTGTTCGTACTCACAGTAATGATACATCATTTTGTTGTTTGTTGTTTAACGCCACACTCAGCAATATTCCAGCTATATGACGGCGGTCTGTAAAATAATCGAGTCTGGACCAGACAACCCAGTGATTAACATCATGAGCATCCATCCACGCAATTGGGATCGATGACATGCATCAACCAAGTCAGCGAGCCTGACCACCCGATCCCGTTAGTCGCCCTTTACGACAATCATAGTCGCCTTTTACGGCAAGCATGGGTTGCTGAAGACCTGTTCTACCCCGGATCTTCACGGGTCTGATACATCATGGCTATGTGTGATATAAGTCTCAATTTTCGAGAGTAAAAATGTGTATCTTGATCTGTGAACACTAATTTCATAAAATTCAAATAAGACATTTAGAGATGTAAATCGAACTTATTTATATTTTTGAAAGGATATTTTGAAGTCGATTTCATAAAAAATAATTAATGTGAATAAAGTACTATGGAGAATGCTTTCCCTATTATATAGTTATGTTCTATGTATCCCCTAGTGTTTGTTTCATCCACATATGTTCTCACACTTACCAGAGAAGACGTATGTATGAGCATGATATTTCCTATCACTGATATTAAATCGCAGGTATTTAGTAAAAGATTATATTGTCAATTTCATCACACAATATCTATATAACTCTATTTCATCCTGTCCGTACATTACGGGAAAAGAATCAATAACAATTGGTTTCTTTATCAAGAACGATACATGTGGATGTACGACCATATCATACTATGAGTGAGCGAGTTTAGCAATATTCCAGCAATATCACGGCGGGGGACACCAGGAATGGGCTTCACACATTGTACCCATGTGGGGAATTGAACCCCGATCTTCGGCGTGACTAGTGAACCCTTTAACCACGAGGCTACCCCACCACCCCTCATAATATGAAGCCTGAAGATCTGATGACGATATTGCTACTTATAGGCTAAAATATACATTTGCAATTGCAAGGTGTGTACGTGTGAACGTGGTTGTCTGCGTTTGGGCGCGGGCGTAGGTGTGTGCGTATTAATTACTTAGTTGGCGATTATCTATTACCCTTCGTAGAGGAAAACTAATAGATAGATTGACAATTATTAGCTAACAATTACATAATACAGTTTACTATATGTTTAATGATCAAATCTGGTAAGTGTTCTATCCATACAACCTCTTCAATTTCAGATTTAATGTTACCAAGTACAATTGCACCACACTCGTCCATGCGCCACCTGGGCCACAACATTATTCGCTGTGCGGTCAACGGTCATCCGCTGAGCTCTGAGAATGCAACCGGAAATCATCTTCCTGCTGTCTAATAATCCATTAATACGTAGCTCGTTTTCAGGTCAGATTTAAACAAACATATATTTGAATGACATGAGTTTTTATTCACCACACTCGTGAAGATCCGGGGTAGAATAGGTCTTCATCAACCCATGCTTGCCATAAAAGGCGACTATGCTTGTCATAAGAGGCGACTAACGGGATTGGGTTGTCGGGCTCGCTGACTTGGTTAATGCATGTCATCGATCCCAATTGCGTGGATGGATGCTCATTATATCAATCACTGGAGTGTCTGGTCCAAACTCGATTATTTACAGACCGCCGTCATATACAGTAAACTACGGTTATAACGAACATGCTTATAACGAACTGGCGGATATAACGAACTGGCTTTTAGGTCCCTGCCATTTGCTGTATATATGCTGTATTTATGCTTATAACGAATTACGGTTATAACGAACTAGAATTTGTGGTCCATTTGAGTTCGCTATAACCGCAGTTTACTGTAGCTGGAATATTGTTGACAAAGCCTATATCTCAATGAGACGAATTTTGAATCCGTTAAAGGAATACTTCGAAAACAATTATCCCAACCAAACTTTATCTTGATGAACCTTTGTCCCCACTCCCCACCTCCACGATACAAAAACAAAATAAACAAGGAACATGTATACGATGTTTTGTTTTGTTTATTGACATTAGTTAGTATTGGCGTGATTAATTAGTAATATGGAAAAAAACACAATCAACATAATAAAACCGCTTTACATCAAAACAAATATTCCGTTTACTTTCGTGCTGAATGTGAATAAAATGAAAATACATGCTTAAACAAAAGGAAACATTTGCACACAACACTTGAAACCTGATAACCAGCCTTTCATGTCAAGACAGTTTTACTTTACATCTCAATGTAAGAAAGAGAATTCAAGATGTCAACTGCTTTACTATGAGGTGTTGGCTTCCATTGCCTATTGCTAATCGCCTATCAGCGCCAATTATCTGTTGACTTCCCTTGTTAAGTTTCCACCTTTTGTTATCTTATTACTTTTGTTGTTCTTTCGTGTACACTTCCAAATGCCTTTCAAAGACTGTGTATTCATCCATCAACATTGATGCATTTGTAACCAGATGTTAAAAAAGAAAATGTGTGTAAAGACAGATTGTATTGAATTTGAATAACATTACCTTCCATTTCGAAGACTGTCACTTTAAAAGTTTTGATGTGTACACATGTACATCAGCCACCGGTTCAAGATTCTGTTTCATATTCCCATACTGGCAGTTTATCAACTGTGTTTTTCAGTTGACAGGTAAATACGTAAGTGAGTGAATAAAGTGAAAACTGCATCAGCAGTATTCAAACATTTTGGAAGTAAAGAGCAGATACAGGAACAGTATCGTCACACAGAAACTCTTTTGTGCACACTTCTTATACTTGTGAGTGAGTGAGTGAGTGAGTATGGTTTTACGCCGCTTTTAGCAATATTCCAGCAATATCACGGCGGGGGACACCAGAAATGGGTTTCACACATTGTACCCATGTCGGGATTCGAACCCGGGTCTTCGGCGTGACGAGCGAACGCTTTAACCACCAGGCTACCCGACCGCCCCCTTATACTTGTGAACAAAGTACATAAGCCCACAAAGGATACGGTTTGCTACTGAATGTGATAAATTGAAATCGACCCAATGTGACGTGAACTGTGTGCCAAAAAGTAATCTGGTGATTTATCTGGTGGTAATCTGCAACTGGCGCAGATTCCGCAATAGAAGGAAAACGTACTTCAATGATTCATACGAATAATGTCCTTTGATACTATAAACACAAACAGGATATTATTTGGGTTAAGTCAATTACAGTCGATCAAGCTGACGAGAAACTTCCACAAAGTGAAACGAGAGAGAGAACGAGAGAGAGAGAGATTGGGAGAGAGAGAGAGAGAGAGAAAGAAAGCGAGATACATTTGTGAAATCGAAAACAAAACAAAACAAACAATATATACATGTACGTGTTTTGATAGAGTAATGTACAATAGGAAATTCAAAATAGTCATAAGTAAGTTGAAAGTTTAACCATTTTAAATAACAGAACATCTGTATGATATTCAAGTTGATAGCTTTTAAGTTAAAGTATAAGAAAAATAAGTCAAGGCATATATGAATAAAAGAGGTAAGTTCATCATTTTGATAGCAAAAAGCATCTACATTATGAAATATATATCCAACCCAGTATTAAATGAATAACAGATATATGAAATTCTACCGACCGGAGTAATATATTGGCATCATATATTATCTTTAATAACACAATAGTTTGCAAATGAATTTTTTTAACGTCAACAGTATACACTCGGTCTGAGGAAATTGGGAAAAGAAGGCCATTCATAATCCCAATCTTCGTTAATACTACCTACCACCTGCCACCTTGAGCATTGTCTCAATGAGTGTTATTCGTTGTCAAATATCGGACACTCACTCTTGATAAATCACAATTTTCTTCAAGGAAAATGATCGAATCGGTTCTTTCGGTCATTCTTTGGATTTCACCGGAAATATTAATACCATTGTCACCTTCACTATGGACTGACTGACGCCGGGAATCACTATCAGCCTCAGCAAGGGCTGACGCACACAATAATGTCAACAAGGACTCTTTTTCAACACCACTTCCTCGTGCTGAATCTGCAGGTTGGGGTTCGCTCCCTGCAAATATGTCAGCTGCTTGCTTTGGCAAATGGGTTTGAGACGCCGAGTCATCTGTCAGTTGACTACCTGATGGTTTCCTGTCGGCAAGCCTTTCCCGGGGCCTTTCTGTGAGGGGTACTGCAGGAGCCGACTGTTCAGTTTGTTCAGACTGCTCGGCTACCAGGTTGACATCTATATCCCAGTACCTGTGTCCCACTGTGTCGCTGCAGTTCCTGCTGGAGCGATCAGCACATTGTAGTTGAGTTATGTGTCTGAAATTAAATGTACATTATTAGGATGCAGTTTACCCGTGAAGATCCGTGGTAGAATAGGTCTACAGCAACCCTTGTGGTGGCTTGCTGTGCCTCACATGACGCCGACGTTAACGCTGCATAAGCCGAGCTTCACATAGTAATAAGAGGCAGTTATACCATTCAATCAACTCCTCAAATTATGGCCCTCTTCTTTCGATCAGCAATGACTTATTATTGACAAAATGATAAAATAGTTCTGGTGAAGATGACCAGATTTTAGTTTCTTACACAATATGTCTTTTTTTCTAAAGCTCATACCTACCTCTTGAATATGAGTATTAGCACAGCACAGCAGAGGACACCTGCCACTGATCCAATGGAAATGACTAAACTGTGATCAGACGAACCTGCAAGGGAAAGGGCAGTTCGGTTAACCACTGTGCATATGATGTGAGGTGATGTGAAGTGGGTTTAAAGTCGCGTACAATACCATTTCACGTATTTAGCAACGTGTGTGCGTGTGTCTTTGTGTGTGTGTGTGTTTGTGTGTGCGTGCGTGCGTGCGTGCGTGCGTGCGTGCATGCGTGCGTGTGTGTGGGGGGGGGGTGTGTGTGGGGGTGTGTGTGCGTGTGTGCGTGTGTGCGTGCATGTGTGTGTGTGTCAACTATGATACTATGTCACAGTTTAGCATGGATAAACCACATTGTACTGACTCCGAGCGGGCTGGGGTAACAAGATGCACCATATTTTAACGTCCTTTGTATGACGCGGCGAGGGGATCGAACCACCGACCTTCCGCTCTATTCACTACACCACAAAGGAGGCCGCATACATGTTTAGAGTTTAATGCTTAATCAAACAAGGCCACCTAAAACACCAATAGATAGAAAATGGATCAAATAATTTCCAATCAGCATCAGTAAGTTACAGTAACTATAGTTACAGGCACCTTTCATCTTAATAATCTCCTCACATCTGCTGATCTATTCAACTGAACCCATACAAAGTAGTGAGTATGGTTTTACGCCGCTTTTAGCAATATTCAGGCAATATCAGGGCGGGGGACACCAGAAATGGGCTTCACACATTGTACCCATGTCGGGAATCGAACCCGGGTCTTCGGCGTGACGAGCGAACGCTTTAACCACTGGGATACCTGACCGCCCCCCATACAAAGTACAGTAGCCTAGTATTAGTATTACATATTCCACATATCAGATAAAGAACGCTGATAGGTGTTATCATTAACTAAGTTTAATATTTACCTCTCTTTACACCAGATATCAATTACTGACGCCCAATAAAAAGTAGTACCAGAAAGGTCAAAGGTCGCATATCAATTAACATCTCTGTACGTATTATGACACACGTGCTTCATAACAGTTTGTTATGATAATGTTTGCGTAGTAATGATAGATAACAACTCACGTATTTTGCAGGGCAATCTCTGGCAAGCGTCCCCTGTACATGGAGAACACATCTCATCACAGTAGGTCCTGCTGAAGCCCTTGGCACAGGTTATACACCGCCCAGTCTCCTTGTCACATCCTTCACAGCTGACGGGGCATTGAGTCGAACAGTTTGGCCCATGATAGTTATCATTTCGGCAAGCTCCCATACATGTATCATCAGAGCGATCACAGGCTATACAGTTAGATGGACATGACTCGTTACACAAGTCCCCTCTCAGACCTGTTGCACATTTGAAGCACTTGGCTGAGTCTTTCTCACACGTGTCACAGTTATCTGGACATGGCGTCGTGCATATCTTTCCATAATAATTGTCGTTGATACAAGGTCCAGTGCACTGGTTGTGTGTGAAGTCATCAACCTTACAGTTAGCACGGCATGTCGTTTTACAGGATGTGCTGTTACAGTTATCTCCATGTTCATCACATCCACCCCGGCAGAATCCTTCTGCACATTTGTCACACTCTCCTGTATCCCTTTGACATTTATTACAGTTGGGTTGACAGGTAACATTACAATATGTCCCCAGGTAACCTGGCACACAGCTGTCACAGTACTTCCCTCTGTAACCTGGCTCACAGCTGTCACACTCCCCCGTGTCTTTATCACATCCTTCTCTACAGTTGGGAGGACAGGTAACATCACACTTGTCCCCTGTGTAACCTGGCTCACAGCCGTCACACTCCCCCGTGATCCTATTACATCCATCTGTACAGCCGGAGGAACAAGGTGTTCTACAGTGTGGACCGTAATACCGGGGATTCTGACACGGTGCTGTACAACCATCACCATAACGTTCACACTGTGTACAGGCTGTAGGACAGTTCACCCCACAGTTATCTCCCTTCTTGCCGGCCACGCATCCCTCTCTACACACAACACGGGTGTTGTCCATCTGACAGCGAGAGTTGAGACAGGTGTCTGGACAGTCATCTTCACACTGTTTACCATAGAACCTGGAGTCCCGACACTGGAGACACTCACCAGATGACGTCACAGAGACACAGCGAGGTGGACACACACCGTCAACACAGGTCACGTTGTTACCGTCACAGTTGCTACAAGGAGTACTGGCTGTGGAAGCTGTGAACAATTGGGTGGTTGTCAACAAAATGTCAGACACTATTGAAAGAGAATAAGTCTGAAAGACATTTGGTTTTCTTATTACGACTGAAAGTATTCTGATCGAAAGAAGTAACCATCTATTTTAAAATGTCTTCATCGGCCATTACCATTTGAAAGCAGGGTTCGTATTATGTGTTGACGTCCGAGAGTCATGATGATTCTCTAGATCTTAAATCAGATGCAAATATATATACAGAATATTTCCATTGTATTATGGGCCGGTGGCCTGAAGTACCGAATAAATTTGTCTGTCTGTCTGTCAAATCAGATGGGACCGTTGGCTATATTGGCTATATCTCACCAATCCTCACAACTGTTTATATTCTTCTGTGCCAAATACACAGTAGGTTTGCGTCAGGAAAACATTTACATGTGAAAAAACTATTATTCCAAACAACATGGGTGTGAGACAATGATGATACACGTACGCACAGGCCAACATATGGTGACAGAGAATGTATTGCGATCTTGAATGATCGATAGCAAGGACTTAAAAATACATGTATACGAACCTGCTGATGTAGCACACAGTAGGATAATCACCACGATAGTATCCATGGTTGAAGCGTGGAAGAGCCCTGAAAATAGATAGAGAGGGTGCTTTTGCGATTTAACGGTTAAACGGTTTAACAGTGAGTGAATGAGTATGGTTTAACGCCGCTTTTAGCAATATTCCAGCAATATCACGGCGGGAGACACCAGACATGGGCTTCACACATTGTACCCATGTCGGGAATCGAACCCTGGTCTTCGGCGTGACGAGCGAACGCTTTAACCACTAGGCTACCCGACCGCCCCTTAATGGTTTAACAACATTTGAGTAACTGTTGATCACGGTCATGAGTGGGGCACGTTTAAGTACGGCAGATCATTCCCACTTCCCACAACCCATGAGGTTCCTATGGAGAATTGCATTTTGTGTGTGGAGGGTTAATATACCAATTGAAAGAAAAATATGTTATTTGGCCCTTGAACAACTTCATAGCCATATAGCGGGTCTACAGTTACATTATGTGATAGATATATAATATAGTTGTTTTAATGCATTAATAGTGGTTTCTTTACTCCAGTTAACTGGGGGAAAACATTTCACATGACGAAGCTTGCTTGGTTGGTTGGTTGGTTTGTCGTTTAAGGACGCACTCAGCAATATTCCAGCTATATATGACGGCGGTCTGTAAATAATCGAGTCTGGACCAGACAATCTAGTGATTGATATCACGAGCATCGATCCACGCAATTGGGATCGATGACATGCATCAACCAAGTCAGCGAGCCTGACCACCCGATCACGTATGTCGACTCTTACGACAAGCATAGTCACATTTTTCGGCAAGCATGGGTTGCTGAAGACCTATTCTACCCCGGACCTTCACGGGTCTGACGAAGCTTGATGTGACATAGATATGTTGCAGTTGTTTAATGTTTGTGAGACGCTAGAGCTGACACACTGATTCAGATACGAGGTCAGTCGAATATTGAAGCACTGTATATGATAATTAATCACTTGCATAAGACAAATCAAATGTTGTAACATGTATCTACATAAATGGCCAGTCTGATAAAGCCAGCAGATATGACAGGTAAACTGACATAGTCAAAACGGGTAAAACCCAACTTGCTTTCTCATTCACTCACGTATATACATTTTAAGGAAGATAACACTCCAGAAATCCGAGGTGTATTGAGTGTCCACAGATAGTAGTCATGCGGTTACAGTAATTAGACAATTAGATAACACATAGTTAATATCATAAAAAATATTCACCTTGATGGCTTTCATATATATGTCTGGATTTGCCAGCTGACTGATAACAAGGCCGAAGGGTTCAGTATATTCAGTACTAGTCTTCAGATTATATTTCCGTCACTCGCGGAAGCTTATGGAAATATGTTCAATGTGTCACATGTTCACAAAACTATATATTTCCTTGCCGTAAAAGGCGACTATGCTTGTCATAAGAGGCGACTAACGGGATCGGGTGGTAAGGCTCGCTGACTTGGTTGATGCATGTCATCGATCCTAGTTGCCTGGATCGATGTTCATGATGTCAATCACTGGATTGTTTGGTCCAGACTCGATTATTTACAGACCGCCGTCATATAGCTTGAACATTGCTAAGTGTGGCGTTAAACAACAAACCAACCAACCAACAAACCAACCAACCAACCAATCTTGTGTGCAGGCGTTAAGTTTTAAAATGAATATGGAATCTAAAAAGTTTGTTCCCAAAATACTTCTACTTTTCACCTCGATATGTAATAATAACAATAATTCATTTACATCGTGTAAAACAGGGAACTATAAGCGTCTGACATAGTATTATCTTGTTCACGTCTCAATACGCATTCAAAGTTGATAGACCCGTGAAGATTCCGGGGTAGAATAGGTCTTCAGCAACCCATTCTTGCTGTAAATGGTGACTATGCTTGTCGTAAAAGGCGACTAACGGGATCGGGTGGTCAGGCTCGCTGACTTGGTTGATGCATGTCATCGATCCCAATTGCGTGGATCGATGCTCATGATATTAATCACTGGATTGTCTGGTCCAGACTCGATTATTTATAGACCGCCGTCATATAGCTTGAATATTGCTGAGTGCGGCGTTAAACAACAAACAAACAAACAAACATCAAAGTTGATAAGCATGTTGCCTGACAAATTCAAAAGGGTCACCTATACACTTGCACTGTTATATCGATCTACGTGTACGTATACCCATTTCGTTACTCAGACTGTGATTACTATCAGTACACACGATGAATGCAATATATGAAGTCCTAACGATAGACCAATGCATAAAACGACTTGGCGTGGATAGCGAGCTGAGAACTGATGAACGAATGATTGGATGTTGTTTTACACAGAGACAGCAATATTCAATGGAGCTTTATCGGTGGTAAAAAACCGAGTGCGGAGCAGGCAAACACAGACAGACAGACAGACAATAGTTTATTAACGTCTCACTTCTGTACATACATAAAACAGCTTTGTACAACTTAACATAGACAGAATGTACAGAACCATTCAATAGAATTATGAGAGACAAATTATCATAAAATTAATACATAAATGATATAAAGATGATATAGTAAAAAGTTATCCATATAAAATATGTTTTCTACGATTAAGAATTAAAAAGCAGACTTTAGCAAGTATAAAACACACACTGGAGTCACGGAAAAATAAACAAAGTTGTCGATATCAGGTACATCTAAAACATTATAAGATTTAGCAATACATTCATTAAAAAGATTTGCCCTGATATCGTCATATAATACGCAGTGAAACAAAACAGGGGCCTCGTCTTCTACGCTGTCATTACAGTGAAAACATTTTCTATTGTGGACAGGTACACCTTCGTACCGACCGGTTTCCACTCGAATGGGAGCCACGCAACATCTTAACTTGGCTAGAGCCGATCTATAGTTTCTGGCCATCTTATGTGATACATAGTATTCTGTCCCATATACTTGCTTGTAACATCGGTACATTCTCATTTTATTAAGCCCATTTCGCCCCTCTTCCTTTCTTAACATGTCACTCCAACGGGTAACATATTCATTCATACACCATTGTTCCACCTGTGTACAAACAGAAAATTTATCAATAAAACCCGTTGCGTTTAATAGATGTCCTAAATCCGTATAAGTAAACTTCTTTCTTACCCTACCATTCCAATTTTTACAACCATTTACATCGTATCTATCAGCCCAGTTAAACACGTGTTTGTTTAACCTACTAGACATATTCTTAAGGCGACACCATTGTCTTGCTATACCTTTCAACTGTCTGACAACAGGCGGTATCCATCCCATGTCCCCATTTATAGCGACGTTAGGGGCGTATTTGCCGAGTCCCAAATAAAATCTTATGGCTCTATGGTGTTCAGCATTTATTGCTGACACACAACAGTGGTGTGAATGCATGGGGAACGATCAACGACGTCGGGGTACAATGACAAACAATCAGCCATGATGATCACAGTGTGACCATTCGACTCTCACTTAAGCCAGCTCTAACGGTGCTCGTGTTTTCTGCCCCTATAGGTGTAATCTTAAACCGTACGGACAAGGGAGGAACAAATTACTCAACTGAATACGCTGAATCTAGCTCCACTTGCCAGCACAAAAAATAATTATGTTTTCATATTATGAACGATTTGCCGCTATCAATGAAAACATTATTCAGAGGAGTGTAAAATGGGTCTATCCTGTGTGTGTTTTTGCTTGGTATTAGCTTTTGCGAATTTAATTCCCCTTAGACTCCGTGAGGCATACATATTCAGATTAGTGAAGAAATTATACATTATACATATTTTAATACCAAACTCGATATTCGCAAGTGATTTTGCTTGCCCTTTTCGCGAGCACCTGGTGTAATCACTGATTTTCAGTTATCCATTCATATATTTTCATGACTTTCGATAATGCCAAATGGAATCTGTTTCAGAGACTGGTTAGTCTCTGGCGTTGACTTTTTGTATTTAGCCTTTCAATGTTGTATAATTAAAATATATGTTTAACTTTGAACTAACGTGATGGGTGGGTCTACAAAGAGTAAGAGCTCACAGTATCGACTAGGGAGTATTGTTCTTGATATTACTTTGAAACGTATGGCCAAACCAGAAATGGACTCCGCTAAATCAGACAGAGGCCGCAATTTCTTGAATGTGAAATTTGCAAACAAGGGAATTTGTGCCTTAAATTTAAGTAACATTCTGAGACAAAGATCAGTTTCCAAAAATGTCCCACAATGTTTCAAATCTCAGGAACCCCCAACAATTTCATTTTCCTATACGAACACCATTTCATCTTGGTTTTTCAATTATAGGAAAGTGTTGCAAAAGTGGACTTGGCAGCTAATATGTAAATTCCACTACTTGTGGCTGCCAAGGCGCAGTATGCCGTTACCAACCTATACAATCACAGGTGACTTCTCTATTGTTTACAATAACGACATTGATCAGTTATACAAATACAGACTAAAATGTCATGATCAGCCTCCTACCAATTGGGATCACGACTTATTATTTAAAGCATATGCCAATAAATGGGCCAAGAGAGAAGAAGAACCTGTTGAATGTCTTTCAGAGTGGGTTAAGTCAGTGGGTGATGTTGTCATTGGTTGTATGCACAAACTGAAAAAGAGGAAACAGAATTGGAATAAACCAATTCTGTCCCAGCCAGCTGTCATCCGAAGTCTGGCTGCCCCAAATGAAAGGTTTGTAACTCTTCTCACTGACAAGGCCTCAGATAACGTAACCATGCCATGTTAGCATCACTTCATTAATTGTTTGTTCAAAGAACTTGGTATAGCTGACATATCAAATAATGCTACGTATAAGGCCATGAGGTATGTTAACTGAGGAAGAAATCTTTCAGAACCACGCATCAGTACTATCAACTTTTGGCTTGACTTTAAAACCTGACATGTTCATTCCTAATTTGTACTGGATTCCAAAGCTTCTTAAAATTCCGAACAAAGAGAGAAATGTACCACCAAATACCTGTCTCAACGAATAATGATAATCCTTCAATCCTTAATCCAGAAAATATTTGAGACAAGTTGAATTAATACCATGTGGATCCCCAAACCTCCAAGAATTTGCTTGACTTTTGACAATCTAAGAAAAGAACCAGGTTAAATTCTGTTAAAACATTTAACTTTTCAACTTTGTACACCACTATCTCACAATCTTAAGCAAAAACTTCATTCCTTGATCAATGCGGATTTTGTTACAAAACATGCTGACCACATATCTATATTAAGAGGTTCAGGTCAATTTGTCAAAAATGAAAGCAACTGCCATCTGAAGTTTACAGAGATAACAATATGTAAAATGCTGGACTTCCTCATTGATAACATCTATGTAAAATATGAGGGTAACGCATTTAGTCCCTTCAGTAGTGTCTTTATGCATATGAATCGGAATGTCTGCTCGGACAAGGTAATTTGGCCAAGAAGTTTAACTTTAGCTCCAGGTATATCGATGATCTGATATCATTCAATAACAATCAAATCGCCAATTCTCTTCCATTGATTTACCGACCTGAACAAGAAATAAAAGCGACCAGTAAGACGTCCTCATCTGTTTCATATTTAGATCTATGCATAAAGTTTCAGAGTGACAAAACACTCTCCACAAGACTATATGACAGGAGAGATGACTTCAACTTTCCAACAGCCAACTTTCCCTTCATGTCGAGCAATACTCCTGCAGCTCCAGCCTTTGGTGTCTACATTCACAACTTTTGAGGCACAATCGAACATGATCTCTCTGGCAAGATATCAAAAGCCTAATATGATTCTTGCGCAGACGCTGTTTGATCAAGGTTACAACATTCAAGGACACAGAAAAGCTTTCAAACGTTTTCTGGCAGACATGTGGAGGACATTTCCAAATTTCACGCATCACTGACAGAAATGATGTCCGATGCAATTCCCTATTTTGATTTAGACCATATGTCCGGGTGTTTTTTCAGGTGAACAATGGCCTTGCATTTACATGTGTTTGTGACGGGGGTCACCAGTGGGGAACAATACGCTCACCTTTTCGCGAACACCTGGTATGGTCACTGTCTGAGAGTGATTTATTAACACAAGCACTTGATATAGTCGGAATCGTACAATAGAGATTTCTTATGAAAATGGGAAGGGTTTTGTCGCTTTTATTGTTATAAGATCATATTAACAGTTGTCATCAGTGAATATGTAATGAATAACGGCTTACGTGTATTTCACTGGAATCGGTCGATTTTTGTAACTGTTGACAGCAACGACTGAGACACGGGAGAGGTCATAATGTGCAATGTGCATGTCAGTTGTATAAATTATCTACTAGCTGACTATACAACAACCACTCGTGTGCCTCTGTTTCTGTTCCGTGCATTCTTCATAATCTCATCACAGTGAACAGAACGAATAAATATACATCCAAACTATCGTAGTATCGACTCTTTCCGTGTCTAGACTAACAGTGACAACAATCTATGAATACAGCTTTCTATTTGACACATCTCTACAATTACGGCCAACTGATCAATGATGACGAACACTTGTACTTGCCACAGGTTCATTAACAACTGGGGCGGTCTGGTAGCCTGGTGGTTAAAGCGTTCGCTCGTCACGCCGAAGACCTGGGTTCGAATCCCTACATGGGTACAATGTGTGAAGCCCATTTCTGGTGTCCCCCGCCGTGATATTGCTGGAATATTGCTAAAAGCAGCGTAAAACCTCACTCACTCACTCACTCATTAACAACTTTGAAAACTCTCCCGTCATGTTTATCGTATTGATATCGTTTTGAATTACGACGCGCTGTCATTGTGACTGACTTACTGAGGTAGTTCTTAACATACCTTTCTCATCCAATGATGAAAATATTTGTTGCAAACAAACTATACAAGATGTCACTGGAGAACAATGTTAGCATACATACGCTCATATCACCTGTTCTCTTGTGGAACTACTTCATTCAACAATACAGCTGGTCGTCGTGTAGCTGTCAGTGTAAACATGAAGCCACACGTACTAACTTTAATTAAAATTGTGTACAAATCTACATCATTCATTTTGATAAGTCAATTCTTAAGTTACTTACCGCAAACATACTACATAGATAATGCTTATAGCATGTGTAAGTGAGACTCACTCACTCACGCATTACATAAGGTCTCGTGGTTTGGTAATATGTTATAGCATAGGTTTTTTGCTGAAACTGGTGTCAGATTGTCAGATCATTTACACCAAACAAATATATTGTTCATTATCGTGCATGAATGAAGAATGAAATGGACAGATATACTATATTGCAAGTTACATAAGGTAACATTTCATGCGAACAAATTCCTCCCGATGAGATGGTTCTCACATGGGTCAGACAGTTTGTAATGATATATGTCTTAATTAAGATATGATTTCCTTTTTGTCTTAATGCGGTGTTATAATACATAATATTGTGTCTTAGCACATGCACATTGATTTATCTACTACTGGTCACAATATGAGGAAATATTCCCTCCAATTTCCCATCACATCAATAACGAGACTGGACGTCCAACAATGTTTATACATTTAGTTTCTTATTCCTCTCCTTATTAGACTATCAAATATGTTGTGCAGCTGACAGGAGAAAGGGGAATGAGTGAGTAAGTGAGTATAGCTTAATGTCAGCAGTGTCAGCTATTGACGTCTACACAGAATTAGGCATGGTATATGTTAACAATAAACGTTTTAGACACATTAACGAACAAACATTAGGCTTGGACTGATAATTGGTGAATGTGTTTCTTGTTCATGGATGCTAAGAGTGAATAGTAGTCTACAAATGATGTTGTTTAACACTGATTGTATCATTAACGTAAACATCGTCCCCGTGAGTCGCGAACTGAAAGTCTAAGAGATATCATAAACATGTGTATAGTGTATAATTGTATTTGTCTGGCGAAAGGCCCTGAAACTATCGTTACTTCCCCAAAAGAAGGAAAGTTAATTTTCTGACTCATAGGGAGGACGTTGCTTGTACAGAAAAATGAGTGATAGTGTTTGTTCACCGTGATCATAAACTTCAAAATTTATTACAATCAAGATGAAATTCTTGTTCCAACTTTTTTATTTCAAATGCCTTTGTGAAATTTAGATATGTTTAGGTATACAACAAACAACAGACTCTCACAAGTTGAATGTTTTCATGTTACTTCTCAATAGTATGCGTGTCACTATCGAGTATCTTGATTCGAGCCAAATCTAACCCAAGATAACCCTAGATTCACATAGCACATGATTAATCTTGTCTGCAAGTGAAGGATGTTTGGTCTGAGGCTTTCATATATTTAGCATGTGAGTTCGGTATCATATCATATCTAGGTAAAATATTTGCAGTGAGTATATATGTGCATGCAGGAAGTAAGAGTGCCAACGAGAGTGCCATCAAAAATTCAGAATAACCATTTGGACGATGGTTCTTTGATTAAAAAAAAGCTATGCTCTTTAGGGGCCAAGAATTTGATATTCGGATGGGAGTGGGTAGAGGCTGGGAAAGAATTAATGGACGAGGTAATTTTATGTATTTATTTATTTATTTTGGGTGACAACAAAAGACCTTGACTATGAAAAGTATCTAAATCCATTTGCAGTGAACAGTATTTGTCCTATTCTGTAATGCTAGCTTCAACGTCGGAAAGTATAGTTCTTTCTCTATATGTTCCTTGGACAGGTAGGCCATGGTTGTCCAGATATGGGCGGAATCTCCTACGGCATGAGATGGCGTAACCATGATAAGCTAGACAACTAGGAATGACATGTGACTTTGTTGTGATGTTAGCTTATCCCCTCCTCCGAATATTGGCTCCTCAGAATATCAGCCTGCAGATGATAATCATATAATTTCTTGAATCTATACTTTCGAAACCTAATATGAACAATTTCTTAATTACATGATACCTGAACATTCTAGCATCGCAAAATTGGCGTCATAGTGCTCCACAATGAAAGAAAAAGGAGGAATGTTTATATATGAAGTTCCCCACGGTCCCTAGTGAGGTGGCCTAACTTTGGTTGCTGGTGATCTCTAGTCCATTTTTATATTGTATTGTTGAATGAAAATTTATTCTTTTAACTATTCTCAACTAGTTTTAACATCGAAACTGTGATACTCTAGTTATCTTACTGTCCATCGTTGACAGCTTTTTAATTAAATGAAAATATAAATATTATAACTGTTTCGTCACGATATGGCTGAAATATTGCCGATGTGACGTTAAATTTCACTCACTCACTCACTCATTATATATGAAGTAGCAATTTTATTTAACAACTCGATTAGATTACACTTCAATGTAATAAAAATATCGTAGCATCATACCCATCTTACTATGATTTACCCTGAATTAATGTTGTAGCCCCGAGCATTTATTATATATTCTCTAATTAACTACACTCTTGACTATGACAAAAGCTGAAATGAGGACGAAAAATAGATAAAACTCATCAGTTCTACAAAAGCTTTATGATTGGTGATGAAGAACCGAGGCTTAATGTGACTATGAAAGCGGGTGTTTGACAAAGAATAAAAAGTGTTTCATCGTTGAAATTTATAGCTTCTCAGCAGATAATGTAAAACAAACAATGGAACTATACTATTTGCACTGTAACCATTTACAGGATTATTTACATGAAAACCAAACATAACATATTGCAACATAATGAAAACCATAATATGCATAAAATGGAATAACTATACATTGTATAACATTTAATGAAAACTAAACGGATAAAGAATGGTTTGCGGAAAGTAACCACTTTAGGCCTCAGCAACATTTCAAAGACCAGGGATTAAACCTGAACGATGACACACAATCGGCCAGATTCATCGCGTAGCGAATGATCCCATTTTTTGGCGTTGATAAGCACGAGGTACCGGAACCGGATATCCTTTGTAATATCATTTATATTTAAGGTGAACTTTTATCCTCAACTTTGTTTGTGGCAAGATATTTCACAAATACATTTGACAGATCACAATGTTCTTCAATAAATATAATTGAAGGAGTCTTTCTGGTCAATCGCTCGATTTGTTCGGACATAACCATATCAGCGTCACCTACTTCCTGACTACTCTGATACTGTGACTCATTGTCACTCCCAGCTGATGCTCCTCTCAACAACAGCAAGGACGAGGCTCTTACAACACCATCACCTACAGCAGCATCCGGAGCTGTCAGTTCGGGTTCACTCACTGCTCTTGTCTCTGACAAAGAAGACGATTTTCTTTGACATCGCTGGCCATCTGTCAAAAGGTTCCTTGTTGCAAGTCTTCTGTGGGGGATTTCTGTGAGAGGCAATGCAGGTTGAACTGCATGTTCAGGTTGCGGGGGACTTGTCTGACCAGACTCGTAATGATCACCTATTTCCCAGTACCTGTGTGCCAGGCTGTCACTGTACTCGCTGTGAGTGGTGCCGTTTGTGCCGCTAACATGGATTCTGTTCCTGAAACAAAATGAAATTATGTTTAAGCTTTAGAAGATACATTATATATGGAAAACGGTACTGTACCATAAAGTGTTGCAGTACGGTTTAAGAAGCGTGACATTTTTAGGTAACATGAGAAGTTTTGTTCAAATACGTCAAAATTGGTCAAAATATCCTCGAGACAGTTGGGTATACTAGTGTCACAATTTAGCACAAATAAGAGGATTTCTAAAAGTCAGACTTCACGTTGACATTGGCATGTACTTACACAGTAGTGATGTACCGACTGAAATTTTTTTCATGTACAGTAAACTACGTTTACAACGAACACGCTTATAACGAACTGGCGGATATAACGAACTGTTTTTGAGTCCCGGCCATTTGCTGTATATATGCTGTATGTATGCTTATAACGAACTACGGTTATAACGAACTACAATTTGTGGCCTCTTTGAGTTCGTTATAACCATAGTTTACCGTAACACTTACCTCTTCTGCGTGTGTCTCCAAAACGCAATGATCAATGCCAGCAAAATGACTACAGCAACTGTTCCAATAGTAATGGCCACGGTGTGGTCAGTTTTACCTGAAAAAAACACATTATTATTTCAATGAAAAGAGAGAGTGAGTTGGGTTTAATGCCTCTTTCAACATTATTCCAGTTATATCACGGCGTGTCAGCTTAACGTGGGAGGAAAGCCCGAAGTTATGCAGGTTTCAGAGGTTTACCACTTCGGTGAAACCCACGAGCACGGGTATGGTGCTGACAAACCTAGAAACATAATCGGGGCGAAACGGGATTCGAACCCACAATCATAGGTTTCTGGCGTGTCCAAGGGACGCAACTCTGCACAGCGAATCGCGGCGTCTTAGACGACTGGGCCGCCCGTGCCCCCTCAGTGAAAAGAGGTGAGGTGAAATGGGGTTTAACGTCTCGTCCAAGATTATTGCACTTATATAGCGACGTGCATGTGCATATGTACATGTGTGGCTGCTTGTACTAGTCCGGACTGATGCCGATTTATGGTGCTAGCTCACTGAGATACCATGCCGCAGTTTAACATGAATACCCCATTCAGACACAGTATACTGACTCCGAGCAGACAAGTCCTTGTTTTAGCCCCTTAATTCCGAGCGCCAGACAGGGTAACAACAAGTACCATCTTTTAACGCCTTTTGGTATGACGCGGTCGGGGATCGAACCCCGGACCTTCCGCTCTCCGGACGGACGATCTACCACTAGACCATGGAGGCGGTCCAGTGAAAAGAAAGAGAATGGCACGAGTGTATTAACCAGCCTACTCTCCCCCACGTATGTCCATGTGTTTATTTATTTATTTATTTGTCAAAAATATTGTATCAGATTTAAGTCCAAGCATACTAACGTTTTCGACAAGGTGTTCTGTAACAGGTGTTCTCTGAGCACGGAGAACATATTTCATCGCAGTATGTCCTGCTGAATCCCTCGGCACACTCAATACACAGACCAGTTTCCTTGTGACAACCTTCACAGCTGACAGGGCATTGGATCGAACAGTCGCGTCCATAGTAACCACTGTTTGGGCATGCACCAATACATATGTCCCCATAGCGCTCACACTGTGTACAGTTAGAAGGGCATGTGTAATCGCACAACTCTCCTCTCAGTCCCAGTTTACAACTAATACATTTCCCAGTGTCTTTATCACACGTATCACATTTATCAAAACAGGGGATGTTACAAGCCTGTCCAAAGTAGTTCTTGTTGATACATGGTGTATTACATGTCTTACTGAAATAGGTAAACTCGACGCAGTTTGCAGGACATATCATTTTACATGTTGGACTATGGCAGTCTTCCCCTTTACAAGGTGTGCACTGATCACCGCACCCAGCCCGGCAGTGCTGTTCAGCACACTGGACACACAATCCTGTCTCCTTGACGCATTCACGACATTGTACCGGGCACTGAAGAGTACAATCATTTCCGTGGTAGTTCCATCTGTGACATTGTCCTATACAGTTCACACCGTGCTGCTGGCATTCTGTACATTGTGATGGGCATGAATCGTTACAGTACTTCCCTCTGTAACCTGGCTCACAGCTGACACAGTACTTCCCCGTGTAACCTGTCTCACAGCTGCCACACTCCCCCGTGATCCTATTACATCCATCTGTACAGCTGGAGGAACAAGGTGTTCTACAGTGTGGACCGTAATACCGGGGATTCAGACACGGTCCTGTACAACCATCACCATAACGTTCACACTGTGTACAGGCTGTAGGACAGGGCGCACCACAGTTATATCCCTTCTTGCCGGCCACACATCCCTCTGTACACACAACACGGGTGTTGTCCCTCTTGCAGCGAGAGTTGAGACAGGTGTCTGGACAGTCATGTTCACACTGTTTTCCATAGAACCTGGAGTCCCGACACTGGAGACACTGTCCAGATGACGTCTCACTGACACAGCGAGGTAGACACACACCGTCAACACAGGTCATTCTGTTACCGTCACAGTTGCTACAAGGTGTGCCTGTAGGGGAAACTGTCGATTGAGAAAGGAACAAAATATAGCACTGCAATCAATTAACAAATTATTATTATTTTAGAGAGGAATAGAAGACTTACAGAGACTTACTGTATTGTCTCGCAAAGAACATTGTTTTAATTAGTATCATATGTTAGAAGACAACATAAATATGTTTTATCGGTAAATATCATGAATATCCTCTAATTATATGTTGTACACAGTTGAATTAACCTGCGGTGGAAATCTTTCCTCTGAGTATGGAAAAGATATATGGATGAACAACTACTTTATTACAATTGGGAGCGACGTTTCGGTGTAGGTTCTAACACCGTTATCAAGTGACCTTTGGCCAGGACTGCAATGTCTTGTTGGTTGAAGTTCTTGCTGCTTAAGTTGATGACCGTCTTGCCGTCTTGATGACCGTCAATGGCAGATGTACTTGTAGGTTGATGGTTGTGGGTGTGTTTCTTGAGGTTATTGAAATTGGTTATGCGAGTCTTTTTTTGTGGCACTTGCTTTTAGTCGGGATCTTTCTGAGGGTGGAGTAGGTGTTTTCTGTAAGAACTGATTGGAGGTAGTTGTGGAGCTTTGTGATGGCATCTAGGGTGTAGGACTTGGTGTTGCGGTGGTGGCGTATCCACTCTATGACGAGGTGTTGCTTGATAACGATGTTAGAACCTACACTGAAACGTCGCTGCTAATTGTAATAACGCAGTTGTTCATCCATATATCTTATCCTTACTTAGTACTCCAACTTCTAAAAGCCTCTTGAAGAAGTCTTTCACCTGTATTCTCAATTGTCGACAATGTCGATGTAAATAGATGATACTATTAATTGTTTCGATGACGTGACGCAAGTTGCATAGACTGCATTATATGACAGAAATTGGTGATTGATTCTTTTTGGAACCTTATAATATTTCAGAAGCAATAGTCTGTACCTGATGTTATTGTAGCAGAGCATGGAGTCATCCTACAGATGACATCCTTACCATGTCAGCTTGCTGACGGGGTTAACCTCTTTGGTCATGTGGACAAGGCGTCCGACCTCGGATCAGAAGGTCCGTGGTTCGAATCCCATCGCGGGACTCGGAAATTTTATGGCCGCTACATTTGCGCCCAACGTGGGGCTGAGCACGTTCATATTAAATTTGAGCAAAATAAGCCTCAGTACCCTACTATGCGACCCGGGACGTGCCTTCTGTTGACGGGGGTGTATGTAGCAGGGCGTGGAGTCATCCTACAGATGTCATCCTTACCTTGTCAGCTTGCTGACGAGGTTAACCTCTTTGGTCATGTGGACAAGGCGTCCGACCTCGGATCAGAAGGTCCGTGGTTCGAATCCCATCACGGGACTCGGACATTTTATGGCCGCTACATTATGTACTGATTATCCAAAGTGGAACCGTATCGCCTAATACACCATCACTAATACCAGTTTATAAGTTAACGAAAAACTCTCACCGTTCAGAAAAAACAGAGATAGCAGGAGGATCGTTGTCCAATAATGACACCGTGGAAAATGTATATCCATTGCGAAGATAATCTGCAAAACAAAGATTATGGAATTGTTTTCACAATCTTTCACGCTTCCATAACAACAGAAATATTTAAGGCACCTCTTTCTTAGCATTATTAGACTGTTTTCAATATAGAGCTATGTTACTTGTACATACGGAACCGAACGCGCGCAAATTTTAATCATCCATGTGGAAACAAACAAGAGGGACAATCATCCTTATCGTACACCATCACTCAATATATAAGTTATACCACACAAAATATAACGCGCATCTTCACTCGCTGAAGTAACTTTGAGAATCACGCAATGATACAATAAATACTCTGGGTATTATTTCATGCATCTGTAACATTACAATATATATTCCTGGGTTATATCCATGCTTTTTGTAAACGCAATTTGTTCTATTTCATACATTCTTGGAATAAAACTAAATTTACTTTTACCTTGCTCCAGTGTATATGTTGCAATGCAGCCTGTTCCCGTTACTGGCGTTGAGAATCCACCGCTCACCAGGTTAGTTTCAGTGTCCGGCTTGACTCAACGATCAAGCTTGGACTTATTTGTTTAAGTTTTAGGACGTGGTCTGCTTTAATTTTCCCTTACCGAACGAATTACTAGATACCATGATTATATTATAATCTGTTGTTTTCTTTTTGCAGAGTACATATTAATCTTGATGGCGTTCATGTACTTGAAAATGAGATACGATAGACACGATGTGGTTTGGTTTGGTTTGTTGTCTAACGCCGCACTCAGCAATATTCCAGTTATATGACGGCGGTCTGTAAATGTAAATAATCGTGTCTGGACCAGACAATCCAGTGATCGATATGATGAGAATCGAGATCATACGACTCAGCAATATTCCAGCTATATGACGGCGGTCTGTAAATAATCGAGTCTGGACCAGACAATCCAGTGATTGACAACATGAGCATCAATCCACGCAATTGGGATTGATGACATGCATCAACCAAGTCAGCGAGCTTGACCACCCGATCCCGTTAGTCGCCTTTTACGGCAAGCATGGGTTGCTAAAGACCTATTCTACCCCGGAACTTCACGGGCAGGATGCATTATGTAGGGAGGGGTAAACTTCCTGTTCGGAATTTGGAATCAGGGTCATTTATTTTCCAGTATGTGCTTCAGATAAGTGGTATTGGAGCGAACACCTGGACTACCTGTACCATGATGCCAAATGATACAGGTATTAAAAGACAACAAGTCTATTGTGTTCCTCCAAAGAACTTTATTCTTACTCAAGCAGCATGTAGCAATTAGGGTGCAATAGAAACCCATGCACAATATATTTAAAGTAAATATATACAAACACGATCATATATTCTATGATAACATTATATTTTTTAAATCCCCAAACTATCATAAACAAAAGCAATATTCAGTATAATTTGACAGAAATGCTTCACACATCTGAACAATAGAATTCCATGTTTAAGGTAGTTTAAAAAATTAACATGCCAAAAATGAAAAAATATATATACAAATATGTATACAAGTATGTATTAAATTATAATCATTTTCTGTTAAAATAAGAAAATCAGTTCCATCTTACAGTCTGGAGTATCTCCAGGCGATAAAGTATATACAAATTTCAGTACACTTCCTGCATTGTCATGCGTCATGACTACTACATCAGATGTCTTCTCTTACAGACAAATGCCTAATTGTGTCATGTCATATATTATCATGACATATACATATTACATAACTCTTGGATCAAAGGGTTTTCTGTTGTGTTTTACGAACAAATACGACCGTATCCGTGGTCTAAAACAAGGGCTGGTCAGCATACTGTGTCTGCGTGGGGTATTCATGTTAAACTGCGACATAGTATCTCAGTGTGCTAGCACTATAAAATCGGACCGGACTAGTAAAAGCAGCCACACACACACACACACACACACACACACACACACATGTTTGCACGTCGCTATATGGGTGCAATAATCTTGGACGCGATGGTAAACCTCACCTCACCTCACCTCACCTCACCTCACCTCACCTCGACACGTATATATGACGCAAAGCTTATATAAAAAGAAGTCAAATGTAGATTTCAAAATATTTTTCTTGAAGTATCAATATCAATTTAAGATATTTGGAGTTTGTGTTAGGGTTGGGACAGAAAGTACTTTCAAAAGAAAAGAAAGACAAACATTATACAATTTGAATAGTATGGAAGCGTATTCGTGCCACAGTAAAATATCATACAATACGTTAACGTTCACTTACGTAGATGGTACTACTCACACATATAAATATATATATTACAGTATCTTCTACAAAGATGTAAGTATCATCTACGTAGACTACAGTATCTTTTACAAAGATGTAAGTATCATCTACGTAGATTACAGTATCTTCTACAAAGATGTAAGTATCATCTACGTAGATTACAGTATCTTCTACAAAGATGTAAGTATCATCTACGTAGATTACAGTATCTTCTACAAAGATGTAAGTATCATCTACGTAGATTACAGTATCTTCTACAAAGATGTAAGTATCATCTACGTAGACTACAGTATCTTCTACAAAGATGTAAGTATCATCTACGTAGACTACAGTATCTTCTACAAACATGTAAGTATCATCTACGTAGACTACGGTATCTTCTACGTAGATGTCAGTACCATCTACGTTCATCGTCTATTTTATTTTAGACTGTGGCACTCATGCACTTCCATAGTTTTGACATCTGCACTTTGAACAGTTTTCATTTCCTCTTGCGGTTACATTTTGACCAGGACATTGTCCCGGAAACTACCAAATAAAAACATCAACTTCATAATAAATCTGGTTAATTGTTGGGTAGTTATTAATTTGGCACACGTTAAATGAAAGTCAGTTAAAACAAAAACAAAAACAAGGAAACAAAGCTGTATGCACGCTTGCGAATGCTTTCACTTCAACATTGTGCTGCATGGTTATCTTATTTTCACGAGTCAAAATATCCCCTTTTCCCCCGGTCACGAGGTGAGAGAAACATGACAGTTCACTCGACATATGGAATATCCTATTTA